CACTATGAATAGGAAAACTGATGGACTGTTCCTTTTGAGAAGAGTGGTGACCCTAATTTCTTTGAGCTCAAGTCAACACTTCCCTGTGTATCTGCTCCAAGCCGAACAAAAAAGGGCAGGTTTTTTTGGCACTCACCACACAGGCGCATGTTTATAATAGAGATCAATGGTGCGTTTGACACGGCGCACACTGAGTACGCGTAACAAATTTCTTCTTTGATACACGCAGAAAACGTGCAAGAACCCGCTTGGGTAGGTTACTACCATTTGCTTTTCTTTTGCTGCTAGGGGGTGTACTTTAACTCTGAGAGGATAACAACTGTGAGTGGAATATACATGTATTGATTAATCACAGCAATAAAGTACACAAAACGCTTTGTGATACATGTGTTTCCTTAACAAAATCTGTGAAATATTCTTGAGTATGCTGCCCCCGTTTGGTTCTCATTTATGCCTTCACAGTAGTTGTCTTTGGAAGAAGTTCTGAAGAGATTTACTCTTTCTTGCTTGGGCCTTCCAATATGTCATTTTGTGAATTCTAGTAGTGATAATATTGGAAATCCCATCCATTGTTCCAAACTGGGCTTGCCCTATCTAACGAATAAGTCAAGTTTGTTGCAAGCTGTTTTTGTAGCCAAATGCATGCAAAACAAATTTGACACTGATTTTGAGAACTTCAATTTCAATTTCAGACATACTAATGATGTTAAAATTCTTTGTCAATCCTCTACAACCAGGCCATTCAATCAATTCAATCATTTCAACCTTGGCACCTACTTACAGCAGTAGATGAGATGGAGCTACAGTACATTGTTTTTGTAATATTTAAATTTTCTCATGTCTGATGGTAAAATCCAGACCAGACGGAGATCAAGAAGTACATGTGTAATTGTCTTGCTTTCCTTTGTATGGAGTAGACGAGTTCTATTTTTTCTCCTTTTAAAAAGGAGTCTTCTTAGGTCTTGTGTGCATTAACCTATATCTTCTGGTATGTTTTTGTGTTATTTTTATGGGGATGTCTAATTTTCGGGATTATGTAATTATCTGCAATCATGCACAGAA